CTGCGGAGGGAGAGGAGGAAGAACAAGAACCGGTGCATGATCTTCTCGCTCGTGTTGTTGATGTTCTTCCTCTATCTGAGGAGCATGATCTTCTTGCTCATGTTGTTGATGTTCTTCCACTACCCGAGGAGCGTCGTTGAATCCAAGATTGATTTTCTTGTCCTCCTTGTATCGGATCCAACACAAGACCAAAGACTGGAACTCGTTATTACCATCTTTGTGAAGAGTAAATTCGGTCATAAGCCAATTGGTTTTCTCTTGCTTTCCGTTAACGTTCTTGTTGTACACAAGACTTTGCTTGTAACCGAGCTCCTTCATGTTTCTGTCCTTGATAGGTTCTATCTTACCGGTGGTTTTCCATGTTCCGCCTTGGTTTTCTCCTCTTCTCGGTACCGTCCGGTTCGCTGATTTGGTACCTCGTTTTGTCCTCGGAACAAAATAGTACCACTCGTTTTTCTTGAACAAAGTATTTGAGACGTGATCAAGACGCCAAGGATCGTCCTTGTACACATCCATAGTTGTTATGTTACCACTGTCGTTTCTCTCCACCATGTTGCGAAGATAACGCCTCACCAATCCTAATTCGGTTGGACCAAATCGTGAACCAGGAGGCAATCTCATAGTGGATTTGACAAGAAGAAGACGATGAGAATCGTATGTTAAAGCGTATGAGAGAGTTATATTCTAGAAAGAGAGAATCAAACGATGAATTGTGAGAAAGTGATTGAATGTTGAGACTCGTATATATCGTATATATATAAAAAATCTAAACATGTTTAGAGTAAACCCGTTTTGAAATTGGAAATGTATTAGTTATCCAAATATAATCTGTTTTTTTTTGTAACATTATCCTTGCATGCATGGCAAAATACTCTATAACAAAAATTGTTTTTGTCGGCTTAGCTTTTAATTACGTGGAGTTTTCTATTAATATACTTACATGATTATTTCTCCTTTTTTTTTTGAATAAAAAAATTAATGAGATAATTATTACACAAACAAAATTAAAATAAATTAACTTTCTTTTACATCATAAATATCCACATTTTTTTTTTGTTGAGAAATAAATATCCACATTTTTCCGTAGAATTCTGTATTTATTGGCTCACCTGAAAATTTGAAGTGTCCTACTTCGTATCACCAAGTTAATCATGTACGCTGTTAAAAAAAAGTGAAAAAGAAGGGGTAAAAATGTAAATGGCATAAAAACTCGGGTTGTCACGTGAGTGGCACGAGCTACCGGAGAATGAATCCACATCGATGAAAAATTCCCTTTCTTTTAAGAACAACCGCGAAAGGTCTGGCGGGAAATTCAGCAATCGCCTCCGAAGAAAAACCTCCCAAAATCTGAGAAAAAGCAAGAGAAATCGGAAGAGATGACTCATACCGAAACCCTAAATCTTCTCGATGAAATCGAATCTCTTGTCTCCGATCAGCTTCAAGTGGTAACTTCCCGGTTTCTCTCTATTCCTATATCGATTACTTAACTTTTCTGATTAGGGTTCCGATTTCCACTTCACTGGTTTTCAAATTGGTCAAAAACTCGGGCTGATTGTTTGATTCTGAAGCTGCTATTTGTAATTTGTTGTTGTATTAGTGTCGGGTTGGATCCGGTTTCTTCCTTGGACTAATCGGTCCCGAGATTCGGAGTTGTTATGTAAAAAATTGAGTAATTTTGGTTACATTGATTGTTTATTGATTCGCTGAATCCATTTGGTTTCAGGTATCTTTCAAATGGCTGAGTCGAAATTGCTCGATTTCGTCAGAAACTGCCAAGAGGTACATTGTTCCTCCTCTCATTTGGGAATTCACTTTTTTTTTTTTTTGGCTACCTCAGATCTGTTTATTGTTCTGAAAACCGTGACTCTTTTGTGAGTAGGTTGCTTAATGATTTTGTCGAAAAACACGGGAAGTGTTTGGAAGTTGTATATACTGTGTCCGGGTGGTTAAAGAACAAACCTTCCGATTACCTCACAAGGCTCGTTTCTAGCTCCGAACTTCCAGGTAACATTTCCATCTGGGGATTGGTTTTTAAATTTCTTATCTTTAAGGACTGTCCTTTGTAAAAGGACCGTGTTTATCGCAGATAGTTCTCTTGAGTTTACGAATTTAGTTAGCTAGCTGTCTCCTTTTCCTTTTGGTTTCACCTGTCTGATAAGCTAATAGTGGTAACTTTTCGTGTTTGCTATTCTTTTGGTTTGTCGTCTTACCGATTCTATTTCGCCATGTAGTTATACTAGTAACATGCTGCTTTATCTGTAGTTCAAGTTGACTATCTTAATTTTCCGTTTATTGTTTGCAATGATCTTTATTTCTACTGTGAATATAGTGTACTAAATAATTTATCGATTTGACACTTCCCTGTCATTACTTTTATACAGAAGTGGAGAAAGAGTTCAATGGAACATATTCAGTTCATATATACAGTGTTCAGTCTAGTATTCCAAAGGATCCAGTAGCCTTATGGAACTCTGAGTTTGTACAAGCAGAAGAACTCTTCAAGCAGCCTTCTGATACTGATAATTGCTTGAGAGGCAACAGGTACACCTTTTTTGTTATTGCTTGAAACCTGTCGCGTACTGTTGACCACTTGCCTATTCTAACTATAGAGGTCTGTTTCTTATACCAGGTTTTGTGGCATTTCCAATTCTTTTGTGAAGCGTAATCTAGAGGGAGCCACTGCAAATGTTACATCTCTGCAAACTGAGAGTGCGAAAACTACAGTACAATCTAAAAGTGGTTTTAATTGTCAAGAAGGTACAGTGCCCTTGAACCAGGGAAAGGGATTTCAGCAACCAATCCCTAACGTTAGCCATCAGGCTAAAAGTGAAACTAATACTGCTCCAGCACAAAATCAGTCTGTGAAATCCTCCTCTGATAAAGAAAAACCCCTTCCCGTGCCGGCTAATAAAAAGAATGGACAGGGCGAAAAGAGCGTGACTGGAACTGGGGGTTTGTTAAAAAATATGTGGGGCCGTGTGCCTGCGAAAACAGAAGGCGAAAATGCAACTATAGAGGTCAAACATCATGATCATTCAGGTTTGTTTTCTAATCCATTCACTCCAGTTTCTACTTTTCAAATATTTCAGTATGTGGAGTTGGCATTTATTCCTGCCTTAGGTACCGATCAATGGCTAGGCTTTACTTGGTGTCTGTTTTATTTAATTTTATTCCTCTATGAAATGTTCTTTAATTGGTGCAGAAGCCCAAAAACCCTCTCACGACGCCAACAATAAGGGAGACAGCGATGATGAGACCCGAGATGTCAATTTCAGGAGAGCGTCTAAAAATGATAACAGAAATAGGAAAGTGATATTTGATCTTTCAGATGAAGAGTGTGAAGATGTTATCAGCTTAGCATCTCCTAGTAGTCCAAAGATTAATTCACTTCCAGATCGCGAACAGACCAAAGATTCGGGTCCAGAGAAGCCTGACGCATCTGGAGAGATAAAAACTGATGAGCCAGAGTTAACCAAAGAAGACAGGCAAAAAACTGCCTCTGCGGATACTTGTGGTGTCAAAAAGAACGAGAAATCTATGGCTTTGTCAATGGAGAAGATCCAGGCCATTGGTTCTGAAGGTGAAGTGAATCCCTCAAAGAGAAGAATAACTGATGCTCCTAGTTCACCGAAAAGGAAAAAAGTGTTGAAGTCGCGGATCGATGATCGTGGGAGAGAAGGTACACTGACATGCTTAAGCATTATCAATATCCTCTGAAATAGTAACAACATTTAGAGTCGGCTAAATGCAAGCTCTTTGTTTGGAATGTTAATGTTCCTTACTTATACAAATCCTCTTTCGACTGTTTATAGTAACTGAGGTAGTCTGGGAGGAGACAGAAACAAAGAAGAAAGAGGAGACTGATACAAGTAAGAAGTTAAACGACGGCAAAAACGCAAATGCTATTAACAGGTATGTTTTAGGAGATGATTAAGCCAAAAATCTATAAGAGCATTTAAACCTTTGTGAAGCCGAATACAATCTTAAAGCCATTACTTGTTTCAGAGCGGTTGCGCAGAGGAAGAGCCCGGCCACCACCACAAACGCAGGAGGTAAAGCAGGAAGCAAGAAAGGCGGAAACGTCAAAGATCCTAAGCAAGGGAACATCATGTCGTTCTTCAAGAGAGTTTAAAAAAAAAAAGCCTTGTCTGTTTTTGTTGTTGTTGCTATATCCAAAAACTCAGTTTCATCTGATTGTATGTTTCGATCAATTATGTCTTAAAACTCTTGGCCGTCGTTCGATGGTAATTAATTCTTACTAGTATTTAACTACACAGATAAGATGATAAAAACTTGTGCTTTTACGTATATTTCAGGTCGAGATTATCGACTATCGTTAATGAACGGCACAGCAAATAAGGAATGGGTCCAAATATTGACTATCGTTTAATATTCAAATTAAACGCATAACACGTTACGTTTATAATAATTTAATAACTGAATGGATAATTTAGAAAAGAAGATGGATTGCGTTTCGAGTGAAATTGGATGATTGAATCCACGAGGCAGGCAGGAATCGTTTTATATACTAATAAACACTACTAGAAAGCTTAAATCGTACTAATTCTTCTTACTCAGATAATAACACACTCTCTCTCTCTCTCATCATCGTCAACGCTTTGATCTTGCTCGGAGAATGTGGAGTTACGTTTGTTTACCATTTCTAGTTTTGGTTTGCAACGATATAGGTATAGCCAAGGCTTCCGACTCGTCGATTTTCCTCCCTAGTCAAACCGGAATTGGTTCTTCGAATCCGGTTTGCTCTTCTCCGGATCCGAATCTGAACTACAGGCCGATCATCGGGATTCTTAGCCACCCTGGCGATGGCGCTTCTGGTCGGTTGACCAATGATACGAGCTCGACCTACATCGCTGCTTCGTATGTCAAGTTCGCCGAAGCAGGTGGAGCTCGTGTGATTCCGCTTATCTACAACGAGCCTGAAGAATTGCTCTTCCAGGTCATATTCTGATTTCTGAATTTGTCAGATTTATTTAGGTTTTTTTGAATGTTGCTTTGGCTTAAGAATTGGATTCGCTTCTCAAAATTAAATCCAAAAGTTGGTGAATTACATTTTGGAATTTCAGAAGCTAGAACTGGTCAACGGTGTGATCTTCACTGGTGGTTGGGCTAAAAAATATCAATATTTCGAGATCGTCAAAAAAATATTCAATGTAAGTTTTTTTTTTCTATCCACAAAGCTTCTCTCTTTGATTTCATGTTTGTTGGTAGAATATAGTTTCCAATATATGTGTTCTTCACAGAAAGCTTTGGAGAGAAATGATGCTGGAGAGCATTTTCCACTATACGGCATTTGCCTCGGATTCGAGCTTATGTCAATTATCATAAGTCAGGTGATTTTTTCCCCTTTCCTTGTCTAGTTTGATCCATATTTAAGTCTTTCATCTGAATACTGGAATCTGTATAAGTAGAGAATCTTCGCGCCGTCTTATTGGTTTTAAACTGCAGTTTTCATGAATCAGAAACTGTTATTACTAGAAGATTTGATGTAGAAAAGATAATGTATTCTAAATTTGAGATTACTTTGGGATCTGCAGGCTCCATTCTAAATTCTCTGATCCTTTGTCTTTGTAACAGAACAGAGACATTCTTGAAAGATTTGATGCGGAAGATAACGCATCAAGTCTCCAGTTTGTTGAAAATGTTAATATCCAAGAAACTTTATTCCAAAGGTGCATAGCTTTTCAGTATTAATTCCTCAGGTTTTGCAAAATATTCCATATATATAATTGTAGTACCCGTTTCATATCTGCAGTTTTTCTCCAGAGTTGTTGAAGAAAGTCAGTACTGACTGTTTGGTTATGCAGAAACACAAGGTTAGTATTGCTTGCTTGCGACCTCCAATTTTATCTGCAGAATATGGAATATAGTTTTCAAAGTTAACATATTATGCATTCTTTTTAAAGAGAGCAATTGTCATTCTGTATGCTTGCTGATATGAATTGTTATTACTTTCCAGTATGGTATCACACCAGAAAACTTTCGAGGCAATCCTGCTTTGTCTAGTTTCTTTGAAATCATTACAACCTGCGTTGATGAAAACAGCAAGGTATTAATTAATGCCATAAACCGTAATAAGGATTCCATAATTTGACCTTACAGTTGAAATATAATTTCTTTGCAGACTTATGTTTCAACAGTTAAAGCAAAGAGATACCCAATAACTGGCTTCCAGTGGCATCCTGAGGTATATCAATGTGATCTGTATTGATATACATAAATAAATAAGTCCTTATACAATATAAATTCTGTGTAGAAAAATGCATTTGAATGGGGATCATCTGAAATTCCACACTCTGAGGATGCGATTCAGGTGACACAACATGCTGCAAGTTATTTAGTTAGGTAAGATCTTTGTTTTTGCACTTATAAC